TTTATAAATTTGCCTTTGGTAACATTTTTACTCATCAATGAAATGATGATTTTCCTTTTGTTTTTTATACATAAATATATATGTCTATCTATTTATATATATTTGAAGCAATTTCACACTCTCTTTGCAAGAAAGAAAATAAAAATACTCTCAGACTTTTGGGGGGATCATCTAGAGGAGATTCATGCTTTTCAATTAAAGAATAATTCTGTTTAGTAGTTTTTCGTACCAAAGTATACTCCTTGTTTCTGGTTTCAGCTTTCATAATGCTCAGTCCCTAAATATTTGTGACTTTTATGTTATCTGTTTAGTTTTGCTTTTTAGCTTCTATAGTTTAAGGGTCTTTTAATGAAGTGCACATAATCCTTGGTAGTCTAGTATTGGAAAAAAATATAGTTGCTTGCTTTGAGCTAACTAAAATATGCCGCATGAGAGGCTGGTAAATTGGAAGTCAATGCGGCAAGGTTCTAGCGTGATTCATCCGAAGAATCGCTTTAGAAATCATAGAAAAGGAGGTATTGGAAACGACCGTGGAATCCCTACATCTCAGTGTGCTGTGTTCCCTCCGTTGTGGTTTGGTTATTACCCTCCTCGAGTCCAGTCATCCGCTGGTGACATGGAGATTTGGTGGCATTATGGGGAGGGGAGGGGAAGGGCAGTGGGGAGCAGACTGTGGGGCTGTTACCTGCTCTCCACCCCTTCCTGTCCTGGTTGCTCATCACCTCTGCTTCTCGGCCGCCATGTGTTGAGCTTTTCTCCGCTACACCCTCTGTGTTTCTGTCTCCCTGTAGGCAGAAAGGCAACGAAGCCTGCTTGCTATGTATTGGAATCACTGACACCGAGTCAAAAGTAAATCTTTCCACACTTAAGTTATGTTGGGTATTTTGTCACAGCAACAGAAAACTAATACCCCCGCTTTCCCTGCTGTTGGTTGTTTAAGTAGTGTTGCTGGACTGATAGGATAGGATTTCCTACGGCTTCTCTCCGTACTCTCGGGACTCCCCTAAGGGTGGAGATTGGAGGTGCACTGGTGATTGATGTCTGTGATAGGCTTGTTTCTCATGGCAGCCCTTGGAGATCTGTGCCTGGGTTTATCTGGTTTAACATCTACATAGATGATTTAAATCTTTAAAAAGAGATTTATCAAATTTTAAATGACAGAATCAGGGAGAGATTATATCAGATTGAAGAGTATAATTACTAGTCGACATAATTTGACAAACCAAGTACAAATATGAAATTATACCCCTTCCAAAATTCATACAACAATAACAAAATTATAAACCTAGGATGGAATAAATAAGACTTAGCAATAATATGGAAACTTAGGTTTAGCTGATATTAAACTCATAGAATTCTATAGAATGATATATTTCAGATATAAACAAAACACCCAAACACTTCTTAACCATTCTCACTACCATTAAAAACAGTAATTAAAATAAAATTCAATGTTTCCTTGAATTTGTAATTGTGTTATGACATGATGAAAGCCCATCTTTTCTCAATAGCATAACTGGAGTATCAGTTTGGGCTTTGCAGACTCTGCTTTGTGAGGCAGAGATGAACTAGAACAAATGCTGAGAGAGGAATTCATGTTGTCAGGGGATTAGAAATCATGTTTCCTAAGGAATGTTTTAATAACCTGCAAATGTCTAGCCTTGAGAAAAGGCCTACTATGTATAAGAGGACTTAGATTTTATAGGATTCCAAGTGATACTGTCAGAAAAATAGGTGATGGCTTTGAGATAACTTTAAGAACCTCCAAGGAGAGGTATTAGTGGGAGATTTACTTGGGGACCCCTTTTGGAATTCCAGGTAGGATGTTCAGTGGTCAGTTAGTCATGAAGTATAGGAGATGACTGTTGGAAATTTCATTCTTGTTGCTCATTCCAGAAACAGGACTGGATTCTTTTGTTTTCCTCATGTCTCATGATTATAGAATAAGAACCTGTCATTTGATGGGGGACCAAAAAATAAGTGTTGGCTTTCTTTTAGAGTAATTTAATAGCTTCTCATGCAGTAATGCTTATCATAGCTCTTTTTACACCCCTGTCAGGATCTAATGCTGTTTCTTCACCTACTAACTTTATTTTATTAATTAATTTTCTTACAGTGCTGGCAGTCAAACTCAGGACCTCATGCATGCTAGGAAGGGAAATGTTCTGCCTTTGAGCTACGCCCCCAGTTACTTTATTTGTTTATTTTTGGTACCAGGATTGAACTTGGGTCCTTGTGCTTGCAAGGTAGATGGCAGAACCACTGAGCTAAATCCCCGGCCCCTTGGTAACTTTTAGAAACTAGTTTTTTAGAGGCCTGATTTTCCTTAACTTCAGCCCTGTTAGACTTTGCAAAGTTTAAGTCCGCACACTACACTTTACCTTCATGTTTTGAGTTAAACTTCACCTTCCTTTTCACTCATATAATGGAAATAAATCTGAAGAACAGTGCTCTCATATAAATAATTTCACATTTTAGTATGCAGTTTTGACATTTCTATGCTGTCTTCTATTGATTTTACTGTCCTAAGATTGGGCCAGATTTCTTCAGGACAAAAAGATAATTAACTATCAATGAACATTTGTTGGAATGGCAACTGAACACAGCTTTCAACGGTGTTTCATAGGATGATCTGTCAGGACTAGTCCAGGGAACCAGAACAGGCTTTCAATCATCTCCTAATAGTTTAAATGAAGAGAATTTTTTCTTTTGCTTTCAGATTTGTAATTTTTCTATTATATCAAAGATTCACTATAAAAAATGTGGATGGAGAGTTTAGCTCAGTCCTAGAGAAGTTACCTAGTAAGCACAAGGCCTGAGTTTGAGCACTAGCACTCGAAAAAGTCAATGCCTATTGCCATGTACAGAGTTTTTTTTTTTAAACCAGGGAATTTGTTTAGAATGTTCTATTTTTAATAAAACATAGGTGTAGCCATATCTATATATACATAGATTGTTTAGTAGACCTTACATCAGTGTAAGGGTATGACATTTGGACCAATGAGAAATTTACTTTCAAATACCTAAAGTTAAATGTTGCTAAAGAAGTGTAAGACATCTGCTCTTAAAAGGAAAGCAACATTGAGAGAAAGAAGGCCTGAATAATAAGGAGATGTATGGTCCTTATTTATTTGAGGGCCCAGTATTGGAAAGATGTCATATCTTCACAAATTATTCTTTTACATCACGAGTAGGTGCTTTTTCAGAAGTTAGTATGATTTCAAAATTCACGTGGAAATACAAACAACTAGGACTAATCAAAATGATCTTGAGGAAAAACAAAGGTGAACAGATTTTACAATACCATATAGAGACTTGTTATAAAGCTAATTAGGTCAGTGTGCATAGGCAAACTGACCAGAGATTGATTGAAGACTGACGTGATACCCACACAGGTCCCACTGGACTGGAGAACTAATTGTGTGGGGCATAATCATGACGCTTTTGGGTAGCAAAAGGGTGCATCTTCGTGACCTCTGATTTCCTAAACAGTATGAACCCTAACAGAAGACAGTAGATGAATTTTTCTTCATAAAGTTAAAACGTTTTTTAAAAAGCTAAAGCTGCCACTAGGAGAGGAAAGAGGTAAAAGAGTGATAGAAAGAATACAACACATATGCATAAAAGAATTCCTATTCAAAATAAAGAACAAATTAAAAAGGAAAATAAAAGCAACTTGATAAGGACATCAGTTAGAAAAAGACAACTTAGTGGAGACGTTGACAGGCTTGAGCAGCAGCGACTCCATAGACTAGAACATCCAACTGTTCATTTAATAGATGGAAAGGGTTCAATGAGCTCGACTTGTTGGGGAATTGTGAATTAGCCACAGTAGAATACAGCCACGTGTCCATTAAAGTAGCCAAAGTGAGAAAGATGGCAAATATTTGCAAGGCTGTGGAGCAATTAGGATTCTCATATATCCATTGTAAATTGGTACAGACTTTTAAAAGAAGCCATTGGCCATGTAGTACCCAAATGCACACATAGGTATTCTCTGACCCAGCAAATCCTACCCATAACCGTGCACTGGAGTGTTTGGGGCGGCACTGTGTGTGTAGTCCGAGGCCTATTCGGAGGAGAAAGGGTGAGCGAGTTTTACTGTATCTGCGATGGAACACTGTGCAGCTGTGGGAATGAGCATAAATAGAAGACACAACATGGGCACACTTCTCAAACACAGTGAACAAAAGAAGGCAGGCGTGAGGCAGAACACGCTGTGCAGGGGTATTTCCACTCGGCTCTGATCTCTGCTAGTGACTGTGGTGGGACAGGTGGAGAAGCTGTGGATGAGTTTGGAGATGGCACCTGTTCCCAGCTCTTCTTCCATGGGTTTGTTCACTTGTAAAGTTCATCTGTGTTGTTTGTATTGTACATTTCTGCCTGTAGATTTCATTGCATCAATGAAGCAATTTTTTGTTTGTTTGTTTGTTTGTTTGTTTGTGAGACAGGGTCTCACTATGTTTTTGAGAACTCACTATGTAGCTCAGGGTGATCTCGAACTCACAGCGATCCTCCTATCTCAGCCTCCTGAGTGCTGGGATTCCAGGCATTCTCCACCACACCCTGCTCAATGAAGCAATTTAAAAAGCAGTCTGGAAGTGTAATGGTCTCACACTGTGGTTATTGATGTCTCTTGCAGGGCGTCCCTGACCCGGGGGGCTGTGTTTGAGTCACCAGGCCTGGGTGCCCATCTCTTAGAGAAGGCAACTCTAGGGCCTTGAGAATTTCTTTTCCTGGCCTCCTTGTTGTTGAGATGATAATTTTTACTTAGTCCTGTTACTTGTGGCAGTCATTTGGGTTCTGCTTTTCTCATCTGTAAAAACCGCGATTCAGCGGTGAACGAGTGTGACTTACTGAGATCTGTGGTTGGCTCTGTTCTGTAGTATTTGGTTTAACTTGCTTCTTTGATGTTGGCAAAGCGGAGATGCCAGTACAGAAAACATTATCAGTTGGCACAGTTTCTTGTGAAAAATGTTAATTTTATTCTTCTGTTACAGGTATCCAGAAATGGAGAGAAAGATAAGCAGAATCTATCTTGCTTCCAAACCCAGCGTAATTCATTTTTTACAAGTGTCTTGGGAGAAAACGCTAGGATCTGGATTTGTTATTACACTTACTGATGGTCAGTCAGCATGGATTGGAACAGGTAATATTTAAAGCGAAATTTCTAAAAGTAAAGTTTAAATAATGTGCTATTCAGTCCTCAGTGATGCCTCAAATTAAAGTGCTTCTTCAATATATGGGGTAAAACTAATATTGTTTTTACTTGTATGATTGTCCAGTTTTATATACAAATTTATAATTTTTCCAGTTTTATATATGCAATGTTTGTATAGACATATTTGTAAGTATCTGTAATACTTACTGCTATTTCCATAGTTGCTATTAATAGAAAAAAAAGCATGTGCTCCAGCTAATACTGGTTGCCGTGTGAGTCTGGGTACTTGGATTTGGCTAGAGTTTTAAAATGGCCTCTTTACTGAAAACATGAATACTACTTTTACCATTTATCTCCTTAAGACCTCGGGGAAGTTGGAGGAGGCAGAGGAAGTGGGTTGGCAGGATGCAGAGTTTGTGTTGGATTGTGGGTGTGGAGCAGTAATGGTGATTTTCTTTTTCCTTGCTTCTTCCACATAGAGTTGGAATTATTTTCCAAGGAGCAGGTATGCATCTGTAACAAAGCGAAAAAACAAAAAACAAAAAACAAAAAAACAAAAACAAAAACAAGGCAAAACAAAACAAAACAGAAGCATACCCTAAATCTTTGTAATACGAGATTCAAAGCTACAGATGGTGTTTTGGTTATTTTATGAAATAGAGGTGTAATTTTTCTTGTCTTTAAGTTTTTTAAAAATGCTGATGAAACAAGATGTGATAGCACTCTCTGTGATCCCCATGCTTGGGAAGCTGAGACAGGAGGGTCTCTGCAAGTTCAAGGCCAGCCTGATCTGTATAGACCCTGTCTCAAAAATAAATAAGCAAAGAAACAAAATATATGATTATGATCCTCAAATCATATATGAAACATAGAAGTTATAAAGTCAAAATTCAGAATTATGTTTTATTCCTGTAACATTTTAAAGCTCTTCTAAAATATTTTATTGAAATATTAAAAATTTATTTCTATAATCCTACAGCAGTATTTCTAGAGTTATATTGTGCATGATATTTAAAATAATTTTGTTAGTCTACATAACGTTTATATGTTTTAACTTTCACAACAGTTCCCTAAAATATCTTACGAGAATTATTATATCATCTTTAAAATTTAAATAGATCATGAAACTCTTTTTCTTCCTTGAATGTTACGACTTTAGTTAGGTGGCAGTCAAACTGAACTTAGACTTGCAGGTTTGTTTGTTTGTCCTTCTTGACAGTCTAAGAAGTGCCGTTGTAGGCATCACTGAGAAATACGGAGGTCCCAGGGGGACATCTGCAGTCTTCATCATGGTGTCTACGTGAGCCGTCAGTCTCTCGTTGGAGAAACCAGTTGTCTCGGGTTTTGCAGTGTGAGGGAAGAGAATGTTTGTCAGGCAGCCACCAGTTTGTGTTTAGGGAGGAGAGGGACGCCTATAGCCAAGGCAACACTGTAACGCTGGGTTTTCTGTTTTTCATGTTTTTTGATTGAAAGAATCAAAGGATATCTTCAATACGGAAAACTGGTTAGGAAACGAAAAGAAAACACACTATTCATTTCACCTCTATAGTGGACGTTGATCATAAATTCAGGATATTCTACCATTTGTTTTCTAGCTAATGGAATCTAGTGTGAATCTAGTGTATCAAACTTTTATATTCTGTGGTGGTTTGTTAGCATTTTTACTTCCTGTACCGAATAACCTCTAAGCAGAGAATTTTATAGTGCTCTATGTGGTCATTTTATCTCCAGAGGTACCTCATAAACTTCCAATTTCACATGCTTTATGCTCTTCTTACTCATTTTCTATTTTCTTGTTTACATTTTAGGGACAAAAATAAGCAAGCAAATAATAAAGCCCTGCTGCCATTTCCACTTACGCACATTGCTCGTGTGTAGTACAGCACCTCACAGATAGGAGGCCATGGCATAATTAAGAACATTGAAGCAATTACATAATTGAAACATGAAAATAGACTTCCTTCCTGTACCTCATCCTGTTTTGTTCTTTTTTTTTCTTTCATTTTATTCAACTTTTTGATGACTGCAACCCTCAATTTGGACAAATATTTTTTTCTCTTTTCATTTGAGTGAAATTAAAAGGATGTGGAGCTCCTTTTCATCTCCCACACACTAACTCGCTGGTCCCTTTCCCAGGAGCAGTGCTTTATCTAACGAATGTGCCTCACCGCTAGTTACCACGCGGCCCGTCGTCACGTGGGTGGCACAGGGGGTCATGAGCAGGATCGTCACGGGGTGGCGGGTGACCGACGGCCCTTGGATGACTTCTAAGGATTGCTGCCAGCAGTGAGAAACCTGCACCCCTATCTCTGGAGCAGGTTTAAGTGCACCTAGGTGTAATCAAGCTTTGGTTGGACTTTTATTACAAAATGCTGAAGTCCACTTCACTTGTCCCAAACATCGATTCTGGTGACTTGCATGGAAATAATGGGACAGAGCCGAGTGGAAGGAATTCTAACAAATGAAAGAATGAAGTGGGTTTATGATGTGATGCCCTCAGAAGTGGGGTGATAAGGCTGGTGCCGTCCTGGGTAGGGGAGCCCAGGCATGAAGGGAGAATCTTCCTCCTCTGCTTCTCCATCTGCCTACAGCTGGTGAGGAAGCCAGGCTTTCCTGTCCTCCAGCCGTCTGTGACCAGGTCCTTGATTTTTGGCCTGCTCACTTTTCTGCTTTATTATGATACGGTTCAGCTGCATTTCTGACGAATTGTATGATTTCCATTGCTTTTATTCCTGGTTGCCAAAGTTTTAGGCAATGAATGCTTACAGCTGTGCTTTTTCCAGATGTTCTTAGCCCAGAATTTAACTGAGACGAAGTTGTTTTGCAGGATTGAAAATCTCCATAGGCAGTCAGGTTTGCATTCACTTTTGTAGAAAATGTTCAAATGGTTCTTGATAACTGGTACCTTTTTAATACAGTTTTTAAAGGGGAAATATAAGTTAAAAGATGATTTCCTTTCATATTATTGTCTCTGTCAAAAATCAAGTATTCATTCCATAATAAGCACAGACTTCCTAGTGGGAGGAGAGAAGAGGCTACCTGAGGCGGTATCTAACAAGTCATCTAAGACGTCAGCACTTGAACGTGGGCCCAATGTGGGTGGCACTTTTGTTTGTATGTTTAACTGTTGTACTCTTGGTTCTCAGAATAATGCCTGGCACATAACAAATGTTCAATAAATATCCTTTTTTCACTGAATAATTTTTTTAGCAAAACATGCATTGGTACATTTTAGATATACATAATGATAACAGTCATAACTTGTAAGAAATAAGTATGTAAAACCCATAGACACACGATAAGACCTTTTCCCTTGCCTGCAGTGGGGCTTCAGATGCCTGATAACATACTGGAGAATGTTATGGAAAGGTATGTTTTATTTTCAGGGATTCTTTAACCAATATTCTGTAATATTTGAGGGGCCAGGGATTTAGCTCAATGGTTCTTCTGCCTGCCTCGCAAGGCACAAGGTCCTCAGTTTAATCCTTGGTACCAAAAAAAAAAAAAAAAAAAAATTTTAAACTGATGTTTAAATCAATATTTAGTCAATACGCCATTAATTTCTTATATTGTTATTAATATTAGTCAATTTCTTATAATATTTCTTATATTCCTGACTTTCTTAGATTTTTTATATTCTCTAATAGTTTAAACTGATGTATCTTTCTGAGTCATGGAATGATTTATCCAATGCCCACTCTCTGCCTGACCTCAAAACAGGGAGACACAGAACTCCAGTTTCTCCACTTACCTACTCCATGACTCTAGATCATTTCCTCTTTCTCTCTGAGCCTCAGTTTTCTGTTTTACACAACAAAACTAATATCTGTAAAGTAGATCAGCCCGTGGTGCGTATCACAACCTGAGTGTGAGCGCACAGAACCACACAGGTCTCTCATCTCTGTGCCAGCCCGGGCCGACGTGGGAAGCCACCTAACCACACAGATGTTCCAAGGAAGTGTGAGATTCAGAAATGAACAGACTCCAGACATGCCACTGCTTGGATAAGAAAGAAGAAAATCCTCCCGTACCATCTGTGGAAAGCCACTAAAGCTCAACTATAGATCCATAGCATATCTGAATTAGATACATGTTGGATTAATTTTTTTTGCAGTACCAGCATCCCATACAGCTTGGCAAATGCTTCACCTCTGTGCTGCATCCCCAGCCCTGGGCTACGCCTAAGTGACTGGCCATAGCAGTGTCTGCAGAGTGGAGTGTTGAGACTGTAGGCCTCCGAAGTACTTGGGCTTAGCTCTCAATGGGTAGAAAGGAACCTGAAAGAGTTTCTTTGCTAACAAAATCATCTTGAGAAATCATATCTGCCTGGCCTGGGGGTACAGCATAGACTCAGACCAGCCTCTAAGGCTTATGTGTGAATAAAGGCCCGGAAAAGTCAAAGTCAGAACCCTAAGCCTGCTTTATGTATGTTGCGGGGGTCTATTTTTTTTTATTTTTTATTGAGTTTATTGGTACATTCTAGGTCTACAATACAGTTACATTCATTACTGGGATCCTGTACCTTCACATGACAGGTCTTGGTTCTCATTTTGTTGTGGGGTTTTAAATTGTACTCTACCTCAAGTATAAAAACCCATGTTAAAAATTACCTTTCAAAACAGGGTTAGAACTGGTGAGACCTGCAGGCACTTCATGAAAGGGAAAACATCAGATTTTGTTTGAGACCCCTTTTTCTGCCCAGGGTACTTGCCACTCTGGCTAGAGGAGAGTCTTGGTCAAACATTAGAAAGTACAGAAAGGAGAACAAACAGAACAGACATGTGACAGCTGAGGACTAGAGTTAATATTTTAGGAGCCAAACATGAAGACTGATTTGAGAGAGGTCTTAAATATAAAACATTCAGACATTTGGTGAATTAGTCTGTTTTGTATTACTATCAGGAGTTACCTCAGGCCACAATATCACCTACCATCCACTCTCCCCTCTCCTCTAACTGAGGATGGAACCCAGAGCCTCAGGATTGAGAGGCAAGCATTATATCACTGAGCTGTGTTCCCACTTCCTCCCTCCCCTGCCCCTCCCCTGCTTTTCTTTTCTTTTTTCTTTTCTTTTCTTTCATTCCCTTCTTTCCTTTTCCTTCCTTCCTTCCTTCCTTCCTTCCTTCCTTCCTTCCTTCCTTCCTTCCTCTTCAAGGTAAAGTATCTTTAAATTTTCTAGGCTGAACTTAAATTTGGGATCCTCCTGTTTCAGTCTTCTGAGTAGCTGGGATTACTGAGCCTGAGAGCAAGCTAATTTTGAAGAAAAGAGTTTTATTTAGCTCATAGTTTTGGAGGCTTAAAGTTGAGGAATGGGTGAACCCATTGGTTTGCTCTCTGGTAAGGGTCTGATCACAGATGATGTCACGACTGTGATAGTATGTGTAGGAGGAAGATAAGATATCTGAGGTTGAAACTGGGAGCCAGAGAGCAATTTGTGGGTCAGGGTTGTAACAATTCATTCTTGCAAGAGCTAACTGTGGGTCCTGTGAGAACTGCTATTGCTCCTGGTGGGGGTGGTACCCCAGATGACCTAAGAGCTCCTATGAAAGGACTCCCCCATCTCTCACATGGCCACACTGAGGACCAAGCTCGCAGCACATGGATCCTGGGGGGCAAACCACCCCCAATCTACAGCACAAGGTAGAGCCAGAACATGGTATTATGAAAGAAAAACAGAGAGAACATGCAGAATTGAAAATACAGTTATTGAAATAAAACATAAAATGGAAGGACAAAATATCAGCTTCAAAGTCACCTGGCACACTGGAACCAGCTCTGTAACACGATGTGAGTGTAGAACGGACAGCAGCAAGTTTCAGCGCCCTTCCCACTCCCCATCACCTCCCTTCATCCATGTTTCTGTCGTTATGCACACAGTGGAAAGGAGCCTCACGTTCACTTACCTGACTGCCTGTGTGAGAGAGAAACGGATGACCACTGAGTATTTCAGGCAACAAAGAATAGTCCCTTAAAGTACTGAGCTTCTTCATCATTACAGGAGGTGATTTAAATGGCTATGGCCTAAGAGAAGGTACCTAAAGTGGTAGTTTCTGTGGTTTATTCTGAGGACTGACAAAGAATTTCAGGAACCCAATGATTTTCATATGTGATTGAGAATAATGTATTTCTCGAAAATTGATAGTTCCATTACAAAGTATGATTCAACTTGAAAATGTATAGGGTGATTGATATTCTTTTTGTATAAATTATATGGTGTGTGATAAATCAGCAGTAAGTGGTAAGTATTTTCTAATGTTTAGCAGTTTTTCGTTTCAAAATTTACTGATGCTTTCCACAGTTTCCGAGTCTGAGATTGGCCGAGAAGCAGACGACATGGCGATGGAGAAAGAAAAGTACGTCGATGAGCTGAGGAAAGCCCTGGTGTCAGGAGCTGGCCCCATGGACTCATACCAGTTTGACTTTTCTGAAGAGCACTGTTGTTTCTTCTGTGACAAAAACCTGAAAGATGTTTCAGTAAGTCCAACTTCCCGTAACTTTATAAATGGTAGAATGTTACATCTCTTACAGAGATACTAACTGTGTTAATATTTAAGAACCTACTGCGTGCCACCCAGAACGCCTCAGAAATAAGAGCTTGGGAGCTAGTTGGTTTCCAGGTTAAAGTTGGTAAGAGTTTCATGTGAATGAATTATGAAAATTAATTATTGGAAAATGTATTTATTTTTTAATGTTTTAAAAATTCTCGATATTATTACATGAATGAGTAATTTTGAAAAAGTCAGCTAAAAAGTTTTAGGCCATTGTGAGAAGGACTTATTAAAATAATCTTGGATAAATACTGGTTTTAGAAAAGAAGACTTTTAGAATATTTGATATTTAGGACCTTTTTTCCTTCTTTATTCAAATATATTTGAAGTTATGAAATGCCACAGTTAAATGTAGTAAGAAATGTAATTCAGGATAAAGGATACATTATTTATATCATCATACTTAGAAACGCTAAAGTAGAAGGAAATAGCTTTTATCCCAACCTGCCCAAAGCTTGTGTGCTTTGTAGACAAGAATATCTGCTGCTCATCCTGTCCCTTTCATGCACCAATTCAGAACAAGGTGATGGTTTATTTATTAAAGGTCCTGTACTTGCCATCTGATTCTTTACCTAAATGGATTAGAGATCGAATTTGCATGCCATTGGCTTATCAGTTATGAGATATATAATATAAGAAAGGAAATCTTTATTAAATTTATAGTTTTTAAGTTACATTATATTATAGTTATATTACAGTTAATTTGTTTTAGAAATAAATTTACTTTTAAAAAATTCTTATTTCAACCACCTCTTTAACTGAGAATGATTAAAGAGTTTTTATCAATTAGAGAAATATTTGAAGAAACACAAATTATCATTATTTTCAATTATATACAGTAGTATCATCATATAGCAAATAATTCAGACTGACTTTAGTAACTTCTGTTTAGAAGTTATACACTTTCTATGTAAGTTTCAATATACTGAGGTCCTTAAAATGGTAATTCAGAAGGAGTGTGTCTTATGAAAAAAGATGCTGTTACTTTCCCATTGCTGGTACAAAATAACCTGCCCCTCATGACTTAAAGGAGGAGTGGTTTCTTTTGGCTCCCAGTGTCAGTCTGTGACTGGCAGATTTAAGTGCAGAATCGGTGTGGTGGAAGGGCCTGGGACAAAGAAAGAGCTCACCTCATGGTGTTCAGGAAGCAGAGAGAGAAGAGGGAAGCTGGAAAGGAAGATACAGGTCAGGCCCCCGGAGGCCTGCCGTCCTAGTTATTTTCTTGTTGATGAGACACAGTACCTGACCTCGCAAATTAAAGGAGTAGAGGTTTATTTTGGTTCACAGTTTGTGGAGGTTTCAGTCCATAGTCATCTGACTCCTGGGTAGAAAGATATGGTGGAGTCAAAACTGCTCCTGACATGATACCCAAGAATCACACAGAGCTCAAGCAGGAGCTGGGGAGGGAGACAAACCCTTCTGAGTCACACTACAGTGATTCACGTCTTCAGCCAAATCCCACTTCCTACCAGCAAGTCAGCTACAAACCCCTGTAATGCAGGCACCTTCCAAAGGCCCTGCTTTGATTGGCTGAGGCTAAAGGGGGACGTTTGGATATAAATCCTACCACCTGCCTCCTCCAACCAGCTCCCACATCCTAGCACGAGTCATGTGAATCACCCCAGTCACTTTCCAAAAGCCCCACTTCTGAACACTCAAGGCTCTCGGGCACTTTCAGACCTAAATCACGACAGCTGCGGTAACCCTAACTCACTGCCCAACTTTTGTTGTTTATCACACATGTTCTTTCCAAGCACACTAAGATTATATTAAACACTGTGGGATTGCTGACTGTTTCTTCTAATATTTGAAGGGGGTCACTGTCAAACTGGGACTGATGCCACTTCCCATTCAGCAAACATCTAGTGCATCACAACTGGCATCATTTTGTGAGGCTTCTGGTGTTCATCTCTTTTACACACATGGATGTGTCACAAACCCCAAGCTAGAAGTGTGCCCGTGGCAAAGCTGAATGGCTTGGTGTCTCTGACAGGGCAATATGGGGTGAGGACCTGGTGCGGTGTGGGCAGCTGGAGGATTTGCTCTGCCCAGCGATGCATTCGGCTTTGCAGCTTCTGTGAAGAAAGAACTTGAAGACATCATGATTCGAGTCTTTTAAAGTTGCCTTGGCGTATGTCTACATGAAAAATGACATTAATCCTGAAAGGTTTCTTGCTTACCACCCTGAAAGTAATCAATTTTTTCAGGGCCATGGCTTTGGACTACTACCTTTTCAACAAGATTTCTAAAAGAATGGAAATGGCAAAAGATTCCCAGTAGTGTGAGGGATGTTGGATCCAAAAAGAAAATATCTTAAAGCAGTAGATGCACATCTGCTTGTTTATTTATTTGTTTGTTTATGAGAAAAAGAAAGGCCATTCTCAGAACACTTTGGCAAAGGAGAGATTCATTCATGGCTTGGCTTGCCTGAGAGATATCTGTAGACATTCGGTTTAGATAAAACTTTTCAGTTTTGCAGACAGCCTTATGGATCCAGTGGAAATATCACAAGTTTGCTTGGCCAAACTTCCCTGGGAATCTTGTAGTGTTCAAGATACACTTCTGTAAACTGATTTCAAGAGTGACAATATCTTGTAAATTCATCTGCTGGCAAAATATCTGCTGATAGTTGGAAACAAGGCAGAGCTTTTTTTTGAGACTAACTGTGCTTGGATGTCCTAAAAGTTGAAAAGGAGTTTGTGATCTTTTCCTTGATGACAGAGAGCTGGGTATGGCCCAGAATGACCCCTGAACTTAGAAGAACAGAGTGGACAGAGCATAGTTGCTGTGGGACTGATAGCATGGAGAGCCAGGGCTTTTGGGTGTTTGTCACCCTCTGTGAAGGAGCTCTGTGTGCGGGGGACCTATACCCTATGGGAACTGTTTGAATATCCGAGTCATGCGAGATTTGTTTGAAATTTACATTTATACCAAATTTTTCTTTTTTTAACAGGGATTTCCATTAAATTTTCGGCTCAAAAATGCCTGTTCTTTGGGGAACACTAATGTATGTTTTGTCTGAATGTTATAATTCTCAATTTCCAATGGGAGTATATGTTTTAAACATGTAACTTGTTTGCCAATGTTTATATTCATTTTAGGGGAGGAATAGGCTCACAGTTTTTATGAAATTACTTTTGAGTACATAAATCTCCAAACTCCATTTAAGCTCTAGCTGGCTTTTCTCTATAGACAACACAGATGTTTTGCAGTTAAGCTCCGTCCTTTTGAGTGAGCGCAGAGTGACCAGCTAGACACTGACGCCTTTCCCTATCCATGTGGACCCCAGTGGCCCTCGCTGCTCCGTGTTCGGCATACTGGTTACACAGATGCCTCCTCTTTCTAACCCATGTATGTTACCCACGCATCTTATCCCACATATTCTCTGGTTTGGGCATTCATATCTTTCTCTGTTTCATCAGAAAACAGCACACCTTACGTCACAAAGAAGACCTAGTTATTTTTAACTCTGTTGTTATAAAGCAGAATAAACTTGAGTCATTCATAGGAAAATAGATGCACCTTGAGACCACAGCGTTCAGTGAAATACATCAGACACGTGAGTTTACATGTCAAATGAGAAACCCAAAATATAAATAAATTGAAGAGCGAAAGTAAAAGACAGATAATAGGAAACACGGGGATCTTTTGTGAATGGTGGAACCAAGAGATGAAGGGAGTGGGGTAGGAGGGGAGGCGATGAAAAAAGCATCGAGACGTGTTCTGTCCGCGCACTGACTCCCGCACGGACTGGTGTCATCCTGTACTGCAGACGTGTACCGGTACAAATAAAAGTGACAAAATAAGAACAGTCTTGCCTAGCTGTCACTTACCCTTGCTCATGACACTTTTTCTCTTCTGTAAAGTTTTAAAATGATTTTTGAGATTCATCCCAGGTGATACTCATATTTTATTTTTATATTTAAAAAAATTGCTCTAATTAAGGAAAATCCACAAGCTTTGAAGGAAAATTAACATGATTTTGTGTGGTGCGGGGAGAGCAAGAGAACTCTGCCATCAGATACTGGCTCGGGATACAGCTTAGGCTCAAAATCTGGCTATTTAAATAGCACGGAGGTTTGTTTTTCCATGATGTAAAAATCTAGAGAAGCAGTCCTAGTTCGATAGGACAGCTTTATATTGGCAGAAGGCTGGCTTTTTGGATCGTGCTGCATTGTCATTTTTAATAGGCAGTCTTTGTCTCATGGTTCAGGATTGCCGTTCTACCTTCACTATTATGTTCACCTCTTAGGCAAGAAGACAGATTTACAGAAAAAGTGAAGAGCACATGCCTTGCCTTTAAGCCCAGCACTCCAAATGGCATTATATTCCTTTTGCGTACCTCCCATTACCCATTACCCATTACCCATTACCCATTACACAGGCTTTGCCTAGATGCAGGAAGCCTGAGAAACATGGACTTTAGTCACACGTTTCCATTCCAGTAAGTCCCAGACTTGCGAATTTCCGAGTTGTGAACTTTAGCAGCTAGGCAAGGACTCTGCATTAAGGACCTTCTTAGATCCAAATGAACCGCAGAAGTAGCTCAGGGGTCTGCCCACCCTTTGTCACAGTCCTGATGCTGTGGGTTTACTGTGCAATGCAATAGAGTAGAGTAGTACAGTACACAGAGGACTTACTGCGTGTGTGCACGTGTGCGTGTGTGCGCGTGCGTTTATGCTTTACATTGCATGTTTGTGTCAAAGGTGCTGTAAAACTGTCTTTGTCGGACTTACAAATGAATCGATCTCATTCTTAATTGAAGGCCTTGCTGTACTGTGTGGAAAGGGGAAGATGCATATGGGGAAAACCTAGCAGTCTCTACCCTGCATTCAGGGAGGGGCAAGACATTCATCATTCTGAAAGGTTTGCTTTTATTGTTGCAAGTATCTTCATTACAAATACGTGTTTCATCCTATTTTATTT